CTACAAGGTCATTAAGATAAAATGGGGCCTGATTATTTAAGACCTTGTATGTGAGGAGCAGGATTTTGAATTCAATTCTGGATTTAACAGGAAGCCAATGAAGGGAAGATATGGTTAGGTATTTTTGTCTCTCTCACAGTAAGTGAAGTCTCATAAAACCCAATGGGCCCATGTGCATTAGAACCCCCAGTACATGCATGTTAAGGAATCACTTAAAAAGTGACTCCTTTACATGCATGTCTCTAAAAATGACACTGAAATATTGCAGAATTTAGATAGCAGATTAACCAACAAAGCATATAAAAAGGGTAACTGTTGACACTTGTCAAGCATATCTTAGCAATGACAGTTGTGTGAACACACACATACAGACACTCACTAAAATGTTCTCGGCAGTTAGTGCTGTGTGTTTGATATATAATGCGAGTCATGCTCCATGTGTTATATAAACCTACTCAATCAGTACAACAAAAATCAAACACAGCCAAATAATAGCATAAATAACAACTTAACTTACAGTTAAATGCTCTTAGTTTTGTTGTACGTCTCCTTCAAACTGACCAGGCACAGTTGGAGTGGGTTAAGTTAATACAAGTGAAGGTGGAAGAAAAAACAACACTCCCTGTTTTTTTTTTTTGGTTTTTTGTCTTTTTTTGGCCACACCCCTGCAGTTGTGCAAAGCCTGTGACAGTTAAGTTCTTGTCTGTATAATGTCCTCCCGATTTCCATACACCTGTGGTCCTCAGGGGTCAAAAATGTCCCCACTTCATTTGAGTGTTTTTTAAAGTATAAAGTATAAATTGTCAATCAATTCAGTGTTACATCTTAGTTTTGCTTAAGACCAACACATTAACACAAAATTTACCCAACATTTTACATTTTAGGGCCACCAGACCTTGTTTACATAAAGTACACTGTGTTTTTGAGCAAAAACAAATTGAGAAAATAAAATATTTAATTGTTTAGATAATTTTGACTATCTGACTACACTGTAAAATGTAATATTGTGTTTAATTAAAAATATTAAATAGGCTGAACTCAGATTTTATCAATTTGTTATCAGAACTCGATTTAAATAAGTTACCAGTACTTTTTATGCAAAAATGCTGATAAACTCAGTTTATTTGAGTTGTCTTAACTTAGAGAAACTAAGTAAGATGGAAGTTTTGCTTCTCAGTGCTGAAGGATGAAAGATGTGTTTTGAAAATGCCCCGTCACTACCGTCCTCCTCCCTCTTGGATCAGTCCGCATGTTCATGGTGCCAGCATTTGTTATGGAATATGTTGAGCAAACCTGGAAAAGCGTCAGCTCAGGATATTATTGTTTTCATTGCTGTAAATCTTTACCTGATACACTGACTTGGTGAGTAAATGTTTACTCTTATTGACAATGTAGCTTCAAATGTAGTTCAAATATCTGCTCAATTTATCAAGACATCACATATTTGCAAAAATGCTCTGACGTTTTC